TTTTGTTTTTTTATCCAATCTGCTACTCTCTTTCTCTTCATCGGTGCATTTAAACCATTTACATTCAGTGTGACTATTGAAAGGCTAGGTTTTATTGCTACCATTGTGTTGAGTTCTTTTTGGTGTTGCTGTTAGTTACTTTGGACCGTGGAGCTTTCTGTGGTGTATCTGTAAGAAGGACATCTCTGAGTCTCTCCTGCAGTGCTGGTCTTGTAGCCAAGGAGAAATAAGCATTCCTTCCTCTCCTGGGATCTGAGATTACATCTTGTCAGCATGCAAATATGTACTTAAGAGTATGCCTCTAAGAGATCTCACGGAGACCCTTAAGAGTCACAGCACTAGGGCAAGAACCTTCTTCCCCTAGAGTACATTCTTTCGGTACAGTTTCATTGTAAGGGAGATGGGCAAAAAAAATGCTTTAAAATGTGCCTTTTTAATGTTGATTTTCTATAAGTCTGGAATGTCTTAATGGTGTATTAATAGTTTGATTGCCTTTTTGCTCTTTACAACTTTTATGATATTTATTACAAAGTCATTAATGGTGGTTCTGTCCATTTTGCTTCTTTAGTCCGAGGATCTGAAGGACTCTACCTGGTGAATGGACCACCACATTTTACAGAAAGCACAGTGTTTCAAAGGTATGACTTATTTTGTGGAGTGATTTTATACGCAACTCTGCAGTACAGTTTAAATTCTTATTTTGCTATGGTCTAGAAAGAAGAAAGAGAACAGATAAATTCGTTTCTTGGGACAATGTGTAATAACATTTCAGTAAGAATGCAAATCGAGAACTGTGATCTTCAGATTAAGAACTTCAGCTTGGTTTTAGTTTGTTGCTTTTTCGTTTGATTGTTTTTTTGTTTTGTTTGTGGTTTTGGGGTTTTTTGTTTTGTTTTTAAATGAGTAGCTTTCCTTCTGTTTATGATTTCTCTCTCATGGTTTCAAGGACCCCAAATCCAGACACTCGGTCCTGGACTGGAAGGGGATACAGGCAGGTCAGGTGGAAGGCCTGGCTCTGGGCCTGGGTTCTTTGGCTTTTCTGGTGGGCAGGTTGTGATGGCAGGAGTCGCGGGGCCCAGGCTCCTCCTGCTTGCTGCTGTGTGGGCAGAACAGCTCTGCTTCTCCTCCTTTGCTACCACCAGTTTCTCCAGCTACTGCCTGTAACTGGATCAGTGGTAAGCATTAATGGAAATGGGTTCATGTAAGGTTTTGAGACAGTATTTACAATGTCCAAATCACGTAACATCATGAGGATGAGCCAGTCTTGGAAAAAAAGACATTATGCTGGTAAAGGTCACGGAAAGAGAGGAGCATCCTCAGTGAGTTGAAGTGACACCGTGACTGCAGCAGCGGCTTGAGATAGTGATGAGCCTTCAGGATGGTTAACTTGATGACACATAATAACAATCTCTAAAACTTTGGTCGGCATTGAAGTTTCTTGAGGTTAAGTTCTTAAGAAACAAAGCTTACAAATGCAAAAGAAACGATAGCTTTCTGAGGAAAATGTAGTCGCTGCCGCAGGCATACTTTGCTCACCCACTCCACTCCTGACTCACCACTGTTTGCTCTCCCTGGGGAACAAGTCAGTCAAGAAGCTGCACTGCAGCCATGGCTTTTAAGGACATTCACTGGATTAGAATTACCCTAACCAGCCCCAACGCAAAATCCCTGGAAAAGGTGTGTACAGACATGATCAGAGGCGCAAAGGAGAAGAACCTCAAGGTGAAGGGACCAGTTAGGATGTGTACCAAGACGCTCAGAAATCACTACAGGGAAGACTCCTTGTGGGGAAGGTTTCAATACCTTGGATCGTTTCCATATGAGGATCCATAAGCGACTCACTGACTTGCACAGCCCTTCAGAGATTGTCTCCATCAGCATTGAGCCTGGAGTAGAGGTTGAAGTCACCGTTGCAGATGCTTAAATCAACTATTTTAGTAAATTGATTATCTGTTAGAAGAGTAAAGAGTAACCATTTGGTAATCCAAAAGGAATTATGCCACAAACTCTTAAACCAGTTTTCAAACATAGAAAACACTTGGAGAGTCTTTTAAAACACACTTGTGACTCCTACCCCAAGACTCATTAGATCTGTTGTGAGACTTGAGAAATTTTTTTTCTTTATTATAATGAACGTTTACAAAGACTTTGGATTTCCATTCATTCATTGTTGCATTTTTCTTCCTACCCACTCCTCCCCCGCCCCCATTCACTCTTCTCTTTGAAAAGTAAAAGAAAAATTCTTTCATTCGTATGCAATCCCTACCCCCAAGTCCACTCCACTGTGCAGCCTTCCTTCTGGATTCCTGTCATGATAATAATACCTAATCATATCACTTTTTAAAAAAAATTTATTTATTTTTCATTTCAGTGAACATCTACAGAGATTTTGGAATTCCGTTCATTCATTGTTGCACCCTTCTCACCGCCCACCCCACCTCCCCCCTTCCCCACCCCCATTTGTTCATATCACTTTTAAATAGTTCTCTCCCGCATCTATTTCAATGCTGTTGTTGTTATGTGCCGTCGAGTTTGCGACTCATAGCGACCCTATACACAACAGCCCTAAACCCTGCTCTACCCTGCGCCAACCGCACCACCTCTGACACACCCATCCTGATTACCCCAGTCACCGAATCAATCCATCTCATAGAGCGTCTTCCCCTCCTGCGCTGTCCCTCCACCCTCCCAAGCATGATGTCCCTCTCCAAGGACCCGTCCCTCCTGGCAACATGTCCAAACTATGTCAGACGAAGCCCCAGAATCTTTGCCTCCAAGGAGCAGCTTGGTTTAATCCTCTCCAAGATGGATCTGTTTGTTTTCCTGGCAGTCCATGGTACATTCAGTACCCTTCTCCAGTACCACAGCTCAAAAGCATCCACTCTCCTTCTGTCCTCCCTAGTCATTGTCCAACTCTCTGATGCATAACAAGTGATTGCAAATACCATGGCCTGTATCAGGCACACCTTAGTCTCCAGAGAGACACTGTTGCTCCTGAGTACTTTAGAGAGGTCCCTAACAGCAGACTTTCCCATCATGATACACTTTTTGATTTCCTGACTGCTGGTGCCAAGAGTGTTGACTGTGGAGCCGAGCAAACTGAAGCTGTGAACACTCTCAATCTCTTCATCATCTATCCTGACGCTGCCAATTGGTCCAGTGGTGAGAATCTTTGTCTCCTTGACATTGAGCCTCAGTCCATACTGAAGGCTGCAGTCCTTGACCCTTCGCAGCAAGTGCATGAGGTCCTCCTCAGTTTCAGCAAGCAGGGTTGTGTCATCTGTTTCAATGCAGTATGCATTATTTATTCCCTCTTTGAGACTTGAGAATTTTTGTGCTTAACAAAGTTTTCCAGATGATACTGGTGCTGCTACTGGTACTGGTATGCTACATAGGAGGAGGTGGGTGATTTAAAGGTGGGAAAATGAGTCCTGTGCAGATTTCAGAATCAGGATGAGTACAATAACCAGACATTACATGCATCCTGATAAGTTACAGAAGAACCGGTCTTAAAACCCTTCAAAACCTGACCATAGTCAAACTTCTGGATGAGCTCTGGATGCACAGTAGAATGGACTGGGGAGGTTTTGTGTTTTTTATAAAAGGCAAAACATAGATGTGGAAGGCAAGTACAGGGAACAAGATCATTAGGTGAGTTCCAGAAGAGATGGCATTGTGGTGGTTTGGATTTTATTGGATCTTCCTCACTTGGAGTTCCATGTTAGATGGTAAAATACTGTCGAGGTTTTGCTTTAAAACTTTTTTTTTAAGTAGAGGGTAAATTAACAAGATTGGCCACAGTGTAATAATTATTTAAGCTCAATGATAAGTGCATGGCTGGCATATACATTTTTTTTTAACTTTAGTGTATGTTTGAAAATTTTCATTTAGAAGGTAGTGCCAGAAAGATGAAGACAAAATTTTCCAACTGCCAAGATGAAAGATAAATTCTTTAAAGTTTATCTCACTTCCTTTTTGAGTTGTGTGCTAGGGACATTATTGCCAATGTCAGATGGATCTTGGCAGAAAACAGAGAGTACCAGAAGAATGTCTGTTTCATTGACTATGCAAAGGCATTTGATTGTGTGGATCACAACATATTGTGGCTAACCTTGAGGAAAATGGGAATCTCAGAACACTTGGATCGTGCTTATGCGAAACCTATACTTGGACCAAGAAGCAGTCCTCAGAACAGAACAAGGAAATACTGCATGGTTCAAAATCAGGAAAGGAGTGTGTCAGGGATGCATGCTGTCCCCATACCTTTTCAATCTGTATGCAGAATTGATTATTCAGGAGGCAGCGCTTTATGAGGAGGAAGGAGTGTGGCATCAAGATTGGAGGAAGACTCATTAACAACCTACGATATGCAGATGACACAACCTTGCTTGCTGAAACTGAAGAAGACCTGAAGCACTTGCTTCAATGGGTCAAGGACTATAGTCTTCAATTTGGATTAAAGCTCAGCATCAAGAAGACAAAGTTTCTCACCTCTGGGCCAATTGGCAGCACCATAATTAGATGGAGAAGAGATTGAGGTTGTTAGCAATTACAGCTTGCTCGGATTCACAATCAACACTCTTAACACCAGCAGTCAGGAAATCAAAAGATGAATTGCATTGGGAAAATCTGCTGCCATGGAGCTCTCCAGACTGCTAAAGAACAACAGTATCAGTTTAGATACAAAGGTGCACCTAATCCAGGCCATGGTCTTCTCAGTTACTTGATATGCTTCAGAGAGTTGGACAGTAACTAAGGATGACAGAAGAATAGTTACCTTTGAGTTGTGCTGGAAAAGAGTCTTGAACATGACATGGACTGCCAGGAAAACAAATAGGTTTGTCTTGGAGACGGTGAAACCAAGTCTCTCCTTTGAGGCTAGGATTTTGAAGCTCCGCCTCACTAACTTTGGGCATGTTGCCAAGAGAGATCAGTCCTTGGAGAAGGACATCATGCTCAGAAGAATGGACAGATAGCTCAGGAGAGGAATACCCTGGATAAAATGGATTGATACAGTAACTGGGGCAATGGGAGTTGGTGTGTCAGAATTAGTGAGACTGGCTCAGGACAGAAAAGGGTTCAGAGCTGCTGTACATAGGGTACCTGCTGTACATCGCAGGTGACTCAATGGCACATAACAGCAATAACATACTATGGAAGATTTGGAAGCAGGAGTGGCATCCACTTCCTAAACAACATCCCTCTGGAAACGATGAACTTTGATAAGTGTCGATAGTTGTAGAGGGGCTTTCAGGCCTTTTGTTTAAAGGGTCACTATGAGTCGTGCTTGACTCAAAGGCAGTCATCAATAACAGACACGACTTTAACAAAACAGCTGAGAATGGAAAAGTCTTCTGGTTAGATTTTGATAATGTTCTCATGGAGGCCAACTCCAGTTTGAAAGATACAATTACAGTTTTGATGATTCCTTGATAGAAAATCCCAAGAAGTCTCATCTGATTTCCTCTGATCTATTTTGTCCTTTTTTAATTAATCATGAAAGTATAAAAAACAAAGCAAATGTCAATTCAGTAATCTGCATACATAATCCACTGGCATTGTGTCTTTTTTTTTTTTGGTCCATTCTTAAAGTTGGGAATGATCATTGCTATTCTTTCTCAAATTATTCCACCATAGGGATGTAGAGGGGTTTTATACAGAATTGTGCCTCAGCATTTGTTTAATATAAAGATCCTTTTACTGTTACTGATGCATCTCTGTCTCTACACATGAGAAATCAATGGAAAATTCTATGCCCTGAACATCCTGCCCAGTTTTGAGTCTATTCTGTCCATCATTGTTCTGTGATGTAGCTACTCTGGGGCATTCTCTGTGTTGAAGTCCCTCAAACCTGTCAGGATCAGGGCTGATGGCTGATAACTTTAACATTCACTTACATTTTCAGGTATTCACACAACCTGTCTATTCACCCACAAGGACTTTCTATCTTTCTTAGCTTTATCTTTTCTTTGGTATATTAGTTTCCAGCAATCATAGACACATTTAGAATGATAAAATATTTTAGAGTTACTTTAGTTTATGTAAAGTTCTTAGTGCTAATGACTCTATATTAGTATAAAGAATGGATTTTGTAGTCAGATATTTTAAAAGCAGTAATGCTTACTAATCAAACTTTTCATTTCTAGGGAATCTGGGAAGAATTGCAAAGTCTATACCTTCAGTAAAGATGGAACCTTGTTTGCCTGGGGCAATGGAGAAAAGTTAGTATTTGTTTACATGATGCTATATTTTATGAATATAAGATAGAAACTGGCATTATTTGAATTAAGTTTATTTAGGTAACAATAAAATTCATATTTTTAGTGTCATAATATAATTAGATATTGTTTCTTGTGTAGCTTCCATAGAACACCTCAAAAGTTGATTTTATTTATGTGCAATGATTTATCTAGTTCACTTTTAATTATAATTAATGCATTACAATTTACTGCTTTTTGTTTTTCTTATGGAGAAGTTAAGAGATTGTTTTAAATAGTGCTCTGAGATACTGTTTATAGAGTCTCTTTAGTTCTTCACTAATACTATGAGAATGATTCTTTTACTTGCTTTTGACTTAGATATTTTTATCTTTGCTGTTAAATAATTGACCGTTCTGAGATTACTTATTACTGTTAGTTTTATTGTGTATAAAAATATATCAAAGTTTTTTAAAAGAACATTTAGTTCTTTGGGGTTATTTTCTATTTTTTTTTTCTGGTTGTATAACAATGAATCCGGTCCAGCTGGCACAGGAGGAGATTGCCTCTCCTTCTCCAGCACAGCATCTGCTGGATTTGAACCGTGCGCTTTTGGGATTTCAGTGCATGCTCTTGCCACCAGAGCTCCCTAAGAACATTTATGCTACATTATCTGGTGGTAAGGAGTTGTGCTGCCAACCCAAAACACATGGTTTTAATCAACCAGCTGCTCTAAGGGAGAAAAGTGGACAATCTTCTCCCCCGTAATTTCCAGCCTCTTAAAACCTGCTGGAGGGTCAGCCATGAGTTGGTTGCAACTCAACAGCACATGGTGACGACATATTATATGAGAGGGAACTCTGGTGGCGTAGCACATAGCATATCGGGCTGCTAATCTAAAGGTCACCAGTTTGAATCCACCAAACCCCAACTAGAGAAAGGTAGTCAAGTCTTCTCTTAAAGATTATATTCTTGTGGCACTCTGGTGGCCTACTGGCAAGAAGCTGTGTCGCAATACAAAAGGCACATGGTTTGAATCTACCAGTACCTCAAGTCGAGCGACTGCCTGGACGAGGTTGCCCAGCTCCTGGCCACCGGTAGTCAATGATGAACGCTTCGTGTCCAAAGCTGGCAAGTCCAACTACCAGCTGTGGCACGAGCTGTGCGACCTCATCTCCCAGAACCCGGACAAGGTGCAATCCCTCAACGTGGACGCCATCATCCGAGGGGGCCTCACCCGCTTCACTGACCAGCTGGGCAAGCTCTGGTGCTCGCTGGCCGACTACTACATCCGCAGCGGCCACTTCGAGAAGGCTCGGGATGTGTACGAAGAGGCCATCCGGACCGTGATGACCGTGCGGGATTTTACCCAGGTCTTTGATAGCTATGCCCAGTTCGAGGAGAGCATGATGGCAGCCAAGATGGAGACCACCTCTGAGCTGGGGCGTGAGGAGGAGGACGACGTTGACCTGGAGCTGCGCCTGTCCCACTTTGAGCAGCTGATCAGCAGGTGGCCCTTGCTGCTCAACAGCGTCCTCCTGCGACAGAACCCCCACCACGTGCACGAGTGGCACAAGCGAGTGGCCCTGCACCAGGGCCGGCCCCGAGAGATTATCAACACCTACACGGAGGCTGTGCAGACCGTGGACCCTTTCAAGGCAACAGGCAAGCCCCACACTCTGTGGGTGTCCTTTGCCAAGTTCTACGAGGACAACGGGCAGCTGGACGACGCCCGTGTCATCCTGGAGAAGGCCACCAAGGTGAACTTCAAGCAGGTGGACGACCTGGTGAGCGTGTGGTGTGAGTGTGGCGAGCTGGAGCTGCGGAAGGCGACGGCGCTGCCCGCCCACCGGGCCGAGTACTTCGACGGCTCAGAGCCGGTCCAGAACCGTGTGTACAAGTCCCTGAAGGGGCCTGTTCCTTGGAGGAGCTGTTCTTGGAGAGGGAGATGATGCTGGAAAGGGTGGAGGGTCGGCAAAGGAGAGGAAAACCCTCAACCAGGTGGATTGACACGGTGACTGCTCCAGTGGGCTCTTGTCTGTCAAGAAGTGTGAGGATGGCACAGGATAGAACAGGGTTCAGATGTTTTGTTCATGGGGTTATTAGGGGTCAAACTTGACAGCACCTAACAACAGAATGAGTCAGAATGGTAGTTAATCTTGACAGAAAGGAGCCCTGGTAGTGCAATTTTTAAAGCATGGTGCCGATCAGAAGGGGTTTTTTTGCAGGGCCTTTGGATAAAAAGTATACTTTTCTTAATTGTTCACAGAATATTTTCTAGAACTAATTGAAAATTGGTTTTTATTAAAAATGACTAGTTTATTAATGAATAATAATCTATTTTAAAGGGAATATGAATATTTTTATTGTCATCTCTTATAAAATAATATTTCACAGCTGATGTAATTTCTTTTGAAACCAGAGTAAATATTATCAGTATCACTAACAAGGAACTACTGCATTCCTTCGACCTTCCAAAGACAGTTTGCCTTGAGTTCTCGCCAAAAAACACCATCCTGGCAACATGGCAGGCTTATTCTAGTAAGTATGTTCAAAGTGTAAAAATACTATAAAAAGACTAATTATATTAAATGGAAAATGGGAATTTTTTAAATCTTGTATAATTTGTTCATGATTGTAAATAAATGTTTATAAACATTTTTAAATTAGCAATGAGTTTTGTATTGTCCAGGTACAAAATACTTTAAATAATTTCAAGGTATAATTAATCAGTGAAAAGATGCATTATGAGATCTCATAGGTATTCTTAAAATATTTAATAATTTACCCATTTCAGAGGTGCTAGAATTTTGCTCCTCTACAGGTGTCCTTGGGTAATGGACCGTTTCAGATGATTACATCTGTGGTTAAGACTAGCTGGGAAACTTGATTTAAAGCAACTCTTTTACTTTATCTATATAATTTTGTTCAGTTTTTTTTTTCTAAGAATGAAATCTCTTTGCATATATTATGAGACAATTACTGCAAAAAAATAAAAAATTGTTTTTGTTGCAGCTTCAAAAGATGGCACAGCTGGGGCACCCAACTTACAACTTTATGATGTAAAAACTGGAACATGTTTGAAGTCTTTCATCCAGAAAAAAATGCAAAATTGGTAAATCAGTGTTTTAAAATACTAATTGTTAGCAAAATATTAAATTTATCTTTCTTGTAGTCTCTGCTGTTAATAATACTGTCAGATCAAAAGCTAGATCTTTAAGAATATTTTAGTTGTGTATTCAGACCTTTAACTAAAAGAGTAGAAAACTTGATAAATACTTGCCTTAATCTTTGAATGGACAGAAGCAATATTTTCTCATTATAAACAGTGACTAAAGCTACCAGTAATTGACAACATGTTTATAAGTAGTTTTGGTTAATTACTTTCACCATACTTTATATGTATCATAATGATATGAAGACTGAGATATTAAACATATGTTATTACAGCTTGTCTAAAAGTTTTTTCATACTTTTGTCAACACAGGTGTCCGTCCTGGTCAGAAGATGAAGCTATTTGTGCCAGAAATGTTAACAATGAAGTTCACTTCTTTGAAAACAACAATTTTAGTACGTAAAGATTTATGGAATAATATTACTTCTTATAATAATGCATATAATTTTATTATATGTCATAGGGTTCTTAATAGTTTATTTGTTGTCACTGTTGTTGTTGTTATGTGCTGTCGAATCACCTGCGACTCATAACAACCATATTTACAACAGCCCTAAACACTCCTCTGTCCTGTGCCAATCTTAACTGTCTCTGACACCCCCACTACCCTAGTCACTGAACCAATCCATCTCATCAAGGGTCTTCTCTTGAGCTGTCCTCCACCCTCCCACGCATGACGTTCTTCTGCAACATGTCCAAAGTATGTCAGAGGAAGCTTCAGAATCTTTGCCTGTAAGGAGCAGCCTGGTCTCACGCTTTCATGGACAAGCCCATTTGTTATCCTAGCAGTCCATGGTATATTCAGTACTTTTCTCCAACACCACAGCTCAAAGGCAGCAATTCTCCTTCTATCATCCCTGGTCCTTGTCCAGTTTTCTGATGCATAGCAAGTGATTGCAAAGACCATGGCATGTATCAGGCGCACCTTAGTCTACAGACTGACATCACTGCTCTTTAGTACTTTGGAGAGATCTCTGACAGCAAACTTTCCCAATGCAATTTGTCTTTTGATTTCCTGGCTGCTGGTACCAAGAGTGTTAATTGTGGAGCTAAGCAAACTAAAGCTCTAAACAGTCTCAATCTCTTCACTGTCTATCTTGATCTGCTAATCTTCCCAGTGGTGAGAATCTTTGTTTTCTTAATGTTGAGCTTCAGTCCGTATTGAAGACTGCAATTCTTAACCTTCTGCAGCCAGTGCTTCAGGTCCTCCTTAGTTTCAGCAAGCAATGCTGTGTCATCTGCATAACACAGACTGTTGATGAGTCTACCTCCAATCTTGATGCTACATTTCTCCTCATAGAGTCCAGCCTCCCGGATAATCTGTTCTGCATATGGATTGAAAAAGTATGGAGATAAAGGACATCCCTGGCATACACCCTTCCCAATTTTGAGTATTTCCTTGTTCTGTTCTGACAGCTGCCTCCTGGTCCAAGTATAGGTTTCACATAAGCACAAGCAAATGTTCTGGTTCTCTCTGCTTTCAGCCAAGATCCATCTGATGTTAGATGTAATATTTCTAGTACCATGGCCTCTTCTAAACCCAGCCTACACTTTAGGCTGGTTGATGTGTTATTAAGTTGTTTTTGGATAATCTTCAGGATCTTGCTTGCATGTGGTATCAGTGATATTTTTCAATAATTTCTGCACTCTCTCAGGTCACCTTTTTTTGGAATGGGAATAAATACAGATTTCTTCCAGTCAGTGGGCCAGAAGGTTATCCTCCAGATTTCTTGGCACAACTTGGTGAGCACATGCAGGGCAGTGTCTCTTTGTTGAAATATGTCAGTTGGTATGCCATCAATTCCCAAGGACTTGTTTTTTCCAATTCTTTCAGAGCAGCTTGAACTTCTTCCTTCATCACCACAGGCTCTTATTCATATGTAGTTACATGAAATTCTTCTGTGTTGTGTTCTGTATTCAGCAGTTTATTTCTTTTGAGATGTTCAAAGGACAGTGCAAGAGAAATTCAGTATCTGGCATCATTGGCTTTCTTGGCATTAATAAACCTGGTATCTCCATTGATACAGTTCATATAAAAAAAAATTCTTGCCTTCCACCGTGGCAGCCGTAGATGTGCAGCAGCCATGGCTGTGCGCTACCCTATGGTCATGGGCCTCAACAAGGGCCACAAAATCACCAAGAACATGAGCAAGCCGAGGCACAGCCGCCGCCGCAGGCACCTCACCAAGAACACCAAGTTCGTGCGGGACATAATCCCTATGAGCGAAGCGCTATGGAACTGCTCAGGGTCTTCAAGGACAAGCAGGCCCTCAAGTTCATCAAGAAAAGGGTGGGGGCACACATCCCAAGAGGAAACGAGACGAACTCATCAACGTCCTGGCCACCATGAGGAAGGCGGCTGCCAAGAAGGACTGAGTGCACCCTTCTGTCCTCCAAAGCCCTCACACACATCTGAAGTAATAAAATGTAACCAACAACAAAAAATTCTTCTGTGTCAGCCAATTCCTTTTGATACAGTGACTCTTTACATCTTATTTTAATGCTTTCTAGATCATTTAATATTCTACTCAAAGCATCCTTAAATATTGGCAACTCAAGGCTTGAATTTGTTCTTCAGTTCCTTCAGCTTAGAAATGCTGAGCGAGTTCAGCCCCTTTGATTTTCTGACTCCAGCTCTTTGCACATTGTCTTCCCATGCTGCCCTTTGGAATCTTCTGGTCAACCCCTTACCATCTTGATTTCTTCCCTTTGCTTTGAGTTTTCAGCGCTCTAGTGTAATACTATATTAATTCTTGTGCTTAAGGCAACTGGTAGTGAAATTCTTTAACATTTTCTTTACTCTTTTGTTACTCTATAATTGCCATTAAGTAAAGATGTTTTAACTATTTTATCATTTTAATGCTGTTGAAATTCTGGGACAAAAATTTCTTTTTTTACCTTTTTTAGATTAAAAGTAAACCTAATTGCAATCTGCACTTATTAATAATTTCAGACCATCTTTATTACTGTGTTCAAGCAACTCTAATTAGACATCACATAATTTTACCTAGAATTTCCACGTGTCTCTGAATATTAGGACTCTTAAATTTTTTTAATTTAGCTATAACTTTATATTAACACTTACTAAATATTTGGTGTGTGTTTAGATATATGATCACTGCTCATACTAAGTTTCTGGTAAGTGTTCAATTCTGAGTAATAGTTTTTTAAAAAAACTTATAATCTAAATTAGGTCCTCCTAATTGATAGAAGGAGATTTGATGCCTTTGAGCTGTGGTGTTTTAGAAGAGTATTGTACATACCATGGACTGCTAGGAGAACAAACAGGTTCATCCTGGAGAGGGTGAAACCAGGCTGCTCCTTGGAAGCAACGATTCTGAAGCTTCATCTGACATACTTTTGTCATGGTGCAAGGACAAACCAGTCCTTAGAGAGGCACATCATATTTGGGAGGGTGGAGGGACAGCAGAGGAGAGGAAAACCCTCAATGAGATGGATTGATTCAGTGACTGGGGCAATGGAGAGTAGGTGTGTTGGAGACAGAGAGATTGGTGTAGTATAGAGCATGGTTTAGGGTTGTTTTAGATAGGGTCGCTATGAGTCACAGACACCTTGATAGCACATAACATTTTCTGGTTGGGAGATCTGGTGGCTTAGTGGCAAGAAGGTGCACTGCAATCCCAAATGTGTGTGCTTTGAGGCCACCAGCTGCTCCATGGGAGAAGGTTGGACAGTCTCCTATCATGTGATTATCTTCCTCTGAAAACCTACTGGAGGGTCAGCTATGGCTTGGTTCTGACTCTATAGTACACAACAATTGCTGTTTATCGTATCTTTGTCCCTTCCTCCCCTACAAATTAGTATTCCAAAAACAAGGTTGTCTTTTATATATTCCAGTTTAAACTTTGATCTTGTGTTTCAGACTATTAACATGTACATCTTCAAGTTCATCTTTGAGGAGTGAGGGCAAGACCACATAAGTAGCATGCTGTAGAGGCAGTTTCACTTATCTACTCTCTGGTTTTCTAGTAGTACATTTACCAAGGGAAAATAGTTATCAATATCACTGTAATGAATTCTTTTTCTAGCAACTTCCATTGCCCTAAATACCCTTTCTCCCTGTGCCTTTTGGCTTACGTGTTTAAACATGTATAATGTCTAAATTCACCACTGTTAACTCTTTACTGAAATCCTAGGTCAGGCTTGCTAGCATTCCATGTTTTTTCTGCTGTGTTGCTTTGCCTCACCTGTACTAGACTGCATTGGGCAGTGTTAACGTGTAACTAGAGTAACCTTTTATAATATTCTTAAGTAGCTGTTTTCTCTCATCAACCTAACACTATTCAGTTTTTCTTTCTTTTTTAGGTACAATCACAAATAAACTACATTTGCAAAAAATTAACGATTTTGTACTATCACCTGGACCTCAGCCATACAAGGTAATTGCTATATTTTTGTTTATGTGAAATTTTACATGACCTATTTACATTTCCTGGGTTTTGTTGATGGTAAAAAACATGCCTTTCTTAGTTCATATAGTTCGTATATTTAAAAAAAATAAGTCATGTTTTCTGTCTGTATCTTAGGTGGCTGTCTATGTTCCAGGAAGTAAGGGTGCGCCATCATTTGTTAGACTATATCGGTACCCCAACTTTAGTGGACCTCATGCAGCCTTAGCCAACAAGAGCTTCTTTAAAGCTGATAAGGTTACAATGCTGTGGAATAAAAAAGGTATAAATATATTTTATTCCTCATTTTATTAATTTAGACATAATGCTTGGTATGGAAAAATAAAATATCAGTGCTTCTTAAATGGAAGTTTAGACATACTATGTTAGACTTTTAATTGTTTTAAACACCATTATTTTAATTTCTCTTTAAATCTAATAAAAATTTTTACTGTTCCAGCCACGGCTGTGTTAGTAATAGCTAGTACAGATGTTGACAAGACAGGAGCTTCCTACTATGGGGAACAGACTCTGCACTACATCGGGACAAATGGAGAAAGTGCTGTCGTAAAATTACGTGAGTATCCCAGAAGTCTTCTGTGGCCAAAAATGACCGCAGTAAACAGTACAACACATAACAATGATACAAATTAAAATTCTCGATCCAGTGCTTTTATGGTAACTTAACGTTCCTCTTAGTTAAGGAGTTTAACTTCACCTCTGTTGTTGTTGTTGTTATGTATCATCAAGATGGTACTATCCCATAACTGACCCTCCAGTGGGTTTTCAGCAGCTGTTGGATTCGAACTGTGAGCCTTTGGGATTGCAGCACAGCTTCTTGCCACTAGGCCATCAATGCTCCCTAATCTTTAAACACACCTTATTTTTATATTGTTGTTAGATGCCAAGTTAACTACAACTCATAGTGACCCTGTGAACAACAGATCTGAACAATGCCCTGTCCTCTTCTAACCTCCTCATCTCTCATAGATTTGAGCCCACTGTTAAGTCCATCTTGTTGAGAGTCTTCTCTTTCCCTGACCCTCCACTTTATCTAGCATGATGTCTTTTTCCAAAGACTGGCTCCAGATGATAGCATGGCTAAAGTATCAGATATCCAATGTTATCATCTTTGCTTCAAAGATACAATTAGTTGAATCATGCCAGTGTTGAATAGAGGCAGTTAGCTATGTTAGGTAATGCCTTTGTAGTAACTGCCTGGCGATTTATTTAATTATGACAGCAAGTTGCTGTATTTAGTGCTATTTTCAGAACTGTGAATCCTGTCTGACAATGTTAATGACTTCAACCATTTTGATGCTCTAAATTAACAAACAGTAGAGGTTTTAAATGTATATATAGCTCTGTGTTTTCCATTTTAAATAATTGAACCTGTAAAAAAGTAAGTTAAACGTCTTTGCAAAAATACCACCAAACTAACAACACACCCAAAACCATAAACTCTTCTATTGGAATAAAATACAGGAATAACTTCCTTTCTATTATTTTGAAAGGTTTAATCAGTGTACTTAATCAAAAGAAAAAGTATACCAAAAAAAAAAGAACATAGAAATAAAATCAAAACAAAGGAGAAAACAGATTTTTGCTCTGATAAAATCATGGTATAAAACAACCACTTAAACAGTGGGGGAAAAATGTCCATGTACTGTACTGTCCAAGTTCTCTAGTGCTGCTGTAACAGAAGTACCATAAGTAGATGGCTGTAGGACTTGTGATTTAAATCCTGGGAAACCTGATGAAGTGTCATGATTAATGAATTTGAGTTTTCTTTTGGCATTAATATAACATAAAGCTAACATTTTAATCAGTAGCATACATTTTGATCATTAGATATATATTATGGGGATAGTTGCTTAACAATTGCAATTAAAAATTATTTCTGCCTCTTCACAAAAGAAATACTAGATAAACAGAACAAAACCCCAACACTATAAAAGAAGAAGAAAGGGGGAGGAAGAAAATGTGTTTTATTCCCAGTTTTACATTCAGAAATATTTTCTATACAAGACAGAAGACATAGAATTTTGCAATGTAAATGAGTAATAAATTTGAATATGTAATAATTAGCAAATTTATACATTTGAAGAAGGAAAGAGGCGGGCAGTTAAGTAGATTTAAACATGAAGATGGTATGTGAAATGGCAGTTAATTAAGTAAAAGAACAAATACGAGGAAATAGTCATGGGATAATAAAAATTTGTCCACAGATGAAAGAAATTGACTTTTATTGAAAGGTACTTCGTTTATCTAGTCATTGATGAAATAGAAGTAATAACAAGGAGCCACTTTTCACTTCATAGATTGATAAACAAAAATGTTACATAGTCTGATTATCAACGAGTCCATGGAAACATGTGAAAAACTTGTAGCTAACACTGTAAATTGGTACGCTATGTTTGTGTACACTCACTGTACAGAATCTGCAGCAAGATTTGTAATAGAGTACAGTGAAGCAGGAGTGGCATCTACTTCCTAAACCACATGCCTCTGGAAACTATGAGCTGTGTGAGAGAAATGACAATAGTTATAGAAAGTCTTTTAGGCCTTTTGTTCATAGGGTCTCTGTGGGTCATGCTCAACTCGACAGCAATCAACAAAAACAACAGTGCAATTGAGAAATAATAAAGTAGATCCTAACACAATTGTGTGAGAAGTCTCCAAGACTGTATTAAATAACAGAGGTCTGGAAATTTGTCAGTTATGTGTATTTGAGAGTTGCTTTATTTCAACAACACTGTAGGGATATGACACAAGATTGCCTTTGTCTGAAACGACTTTTTGTTTGTTAGTTTGTCTTTCTTTAAAAAAACCACTTAATTTTTGTGCCATATTTTTTGTATAGTTTTCACTTGTAGTACCATGTGCCTATGTATCTTCCAGTACAAGCTGGTTTGTTTACTTGATAATAACAACCTATGCATCTTTGAACCAGTAATGCCAAAATATTAAGAAACAGACTAGTTTGAGTTCTTAAATACTGTTATGATTTATAATCCTTATATATATCATGTAAAAATATTTTCATGTCTTTGGGAATTTCTAGGCTTGTTTTTTAGTTCTGTATTTAAAACATATACTGATAATTATGATCATATAATTCTTTATTACTAACTTGAGTTTTATGGTTTTTTTCTAGCCAAAGATGGTCCTATTTATGATGTTGTTTGGAGTTCTTGTTCTACCAAGTTTTGTGCTGTTTATGGTTTTATGCCTGCCAAAGCAACAATTTTCAACCTGAAATGCGACCCTGTATTTGACTTTGGAACTGGTCCTCGAAATGCAGCCTACTACAGCCCTCATGGACATATATTAGTATTAGCTGGATTTGGAAATCTAAGAGGACAAATGGAAGTGTGGGATGTTAAAAACTACAAACTTATTTCTAAACCAGTGGCCTCTGATTCTACGTATTTTGCTTGGTGTGCAGATGGGGAACATATTTTAACAGCCACGTGTGCTCCCAGATTGCGTGTTAATAATGGGTACAAGATTTGGCATTATACTGGCTCTGTCTTACACAAATATGATGTAGCATCAAATGCAGAAATATGGCAGGTTACGTGGCAGCCATTTTTAGATGGAGTATTTCCAGCAAAAACAATAAAGTACCAAGCAGTTCCAAGTGAAGTACCCAGTGAAGAACCTAAAGTTGCAACAGCTTATAGACCCCCAGCTTTAAGAAATAAGCCAGTCACCAGTACCAAACTGGTAAGTAACATTATGAGAATCTTTGTTTTCCTGACATTGAGATGCAATCCATATTGAAGGCTGCAGTGTTGGATCTTTTGCAACAAGTGTTTTGAGTCTTCCTCCCATCTTGATAACCACATTCTTCATAGAGTTCAGCTTCTCGAATAATTTTCGCAACATATAGACTGAATAGGTTTCATTTTAATCCATGCAGTGTTTTCTTGCACAACAGCCTCTTGGTCTAGGTATAAGTTTTACAGAAGCACAATTAGATGTTCTGAAATGTTTGTTCTTATCAATGTTAGCCATAATTCGTTATGATCCACACAGTCAAATGTCTTCGTGTAGTCAGTAAAACACAAATAGAGATTCTTCTGCTATTCTCTGCTCACAGCCAGGATCCATCTCATATTGACAATAATATCCTTCGTGCCACAACTTCTTCTGAATCTGCCTTGAACATCTGGCAGGTCCCTGTCTATGTCCTATTCTAAAGTCTTTGATCTTCATCAGTGTTTAGCTTCTATGTAATATTAATGATATAATTGAATAATTTCCATATTCTATTGATTCACCTTTCTTGGAAATGGGAATAAATATGGATTTCTTCTAGTCATTCAGGCAGATAGCTGTGCTTGAAATTTCCTGGAGTGCATCTCAACATTAAAAAAAAATTTTTTTTTCATCACTGGACCAATAGGCATTGTCATGATAGATGGAGAAAAGATTGAGACTGTCAATGACTTCATCTTATTTGGGTCTGTAATAATACTTGGCATCAGTAGTCAGGAGATCAGGAGAGGTATTGCACTGGGAAAGTCTGCAGTCAGGAATCTCTCCAAATTACATAGAAACGATACTAATTTCAAGACTAAGGTGTGGCTGATTCAGACCATGGTCTTTTCAGTCTTCTACTGGGCATCTGAGTGCTGGACAGTGCAAAAGCGGTTCAAATCCACCAGATGCTCCGCTAGAAAAGGAGGTGAAATCTCCTGTGCCAGTTGGAACTGATTCGACAGCACACAACAAATAAATGAAATAAATTTTTTTTAAAAAAAGACAAAGAGGGTCATCTGGCACCACCCAGACCACTGTGTCAAAATTAAAAAAACCTCCACTTTTGCAGTATGTTCATCAAAACTGTGTTACAATAATTGGTGTAACTAGGGAGCTCTGGTGGCCTAGTGTCAAGAAGCTGCACTGCAGTCCTAGAGGTGTTCGGTTCGAATCCACCAGATGCTCTGCTGGGGAGAAGGAGGGACAATCTCCTCCGGTACCAGTCAGATCCTATTTGACGGTACACACACAAAATAATAATAATTTTTTTTAAAAAATTGGTATAACTGAAGAAACTTTATTAATAATAAAGTTTCTAAGTTTATTACAAATGTCTAAGTTTTAGACAGTCAGCATGTGGTTCTAAAACGGGAAAACCTCTTGATTCTTAATACTCAAGTGGATTAGTTTCTTTTCTTATTTTTTGTCTATAATCAGTCTTAACCAGTATCTTGTGATACTCCAAGTGTGGAAGAGCCTTGTAATTTATTCTTTCTCCTCACGTAGGAGAAAGGACATTTTCTGAGCAGAAGCTTTTCAGCTAAAGCAAAGCAGTTTAGAAGAATCTGCTATTGAAAAGATGTTGATGTTTACATGTAAGACAGATGTTTTGCAAATACTCTTTCTTACCTTAAATATTATGCAATGGCGATACAAAAGAAGTAAAAGAGGCTTGCCTTACAAATGTGTCTATGCTGCAAATGGGATTTCTCATCCAGCCCACTTAGCCCACCCTCTCCCCCTACCACTGCTGTCAAGTCAATTCTGATTGGTAGGACCTTCCACTGGGAAGGCTGTAAATCTTATCAGGAGCACTCTAACTTATCTTTAGTCGGTGGGGCAGATGATGGATTTGCCTTGCCAACCTTTCAGTTAAAAACCTACTTAACCTACTATGGAACCAGGCTTCTTAATTTGCTTACAGTAGGGTAAATACACATAAAACTGATAACTTGAAATAGTGGAACTACTAAACTAAGGCAGCTTTATGATGTCTTATTTCTTTTTTTTATATATTAAGTGTTTGAGGCCTGCCCGTTTCCTTTTGGGGTGTAGAAGTAAAATTCAAATTTTAAATCTAAGGCAAGAAATTATTGCGATGAATTTGATAGGGTTGGAATGTTACCTCTTATAAGTTGTCTAAAACTACCCTGGAAGTACTGTACCTAATTGAGCCTTCCTGTACCTAATTCCCTTTTTGTCTGTTATATAATATAGTTGATATATGGCTATTTAAATATCTGGTCCTAAAAGGTCAGTCTTCATTTTGAAGATATGACAAGAAATTTAGATTTTTGTAGCCCTCTTCATTATACTCCTTGGAGGCAAGGCTGGGGAAACTTCATCTCACTTAATTTGGGCATGTTACTAGGAGAGGCTTCCTTGAAGAGGGACGTTGTGCTTGGAAAGGTAGAGGTTTAGCAAAAGAGGAAGACCCTCAGTGAGATGGATTGACACAGTGTCAGCAGCAGTGTGTCACAGATAATGAGAAAGGGCACAGGACAAGAGAGAGTTTGCACATGATGGTCATAAGGTCACTGAGTCATACTCCATGACACTTAACAGCGTCATGCTAAGCCCAGATTTAGAATTAATCAGTTAACTTTTTTTTTGTTGGACATAATTTCTTATATTCTATTTTAGCTTTTTTCCCTTAAATTTTCTGATTTAACAAGTAAAAAGAAAACGTTTTCTTTAAAAAGCTTTTCATGCAGAAAAAAAGGAGTGTGACAAGTAGGTTTCTGGCATTAATCAGAGCTTTTTAAAAAAACACAAGAGAAGCCACTGTTGATACCTAATTTCATAAGAATCGTATGTCACTAGCAAAACAACATTGTTTAAATAAATAGCTGATGATATAGGATCCCTGATGGTAGTGCTTAGTGTATTGGGCTGCTAAGCAAAAGGTTGATGTTTTGAACCTACCACTGGCAGCCGATTCACAACCTTGGAAACTTGATGGAAGGTGTCTCTGTTGCAACCACTTTGATAATATGACTTTAAAGTCTATTATGGTGAGCTTCTCAGGAAATCCACCCTGATACTGGGAGTTTGTCACTACTAATAAAGTTTTCAAATGTTCCTTGGCTAAATTATTCCCTACTAGGCAAGCTGTATAATTTGCTATTATTGATGTTTTTTAAAGCATAGGCTTTGTTTCAGAATTATTTATTTTATGTTTTCCATAGCATGAGGTGGAACCACCCCAGAATATGAAGCCACAATCAGGAAATGATAAGCCTTTATCAAAGACAGCCCTTAAAAATCAACGGAAGCATGAGG